TATGTGTGTGTGTATATGGTGTGTGTGTGTGTGTGTATATGTGTGTGTGTATGTGCGTGTATATGTGTGTGTGTATGTGTGTGTGCTTGTGCGTGTGTGTGTGTGCTTGTGCGTGAGTTTGTGTGTGTGTATGTGTGTGTGTGTGTGTGTGTGCTCGTGCGTGAGTGTGCGTGAGTGTGCTTGTGCGTGAGTGTGTGTGTGCTTGTGCGTGTGTGTGTGTGTGTATGTGTGTGTGTGTGTGTGTGTGTGTGTGTGTGTGTGTGTGTGTGCTCGTGCGTGAGTGTGCGTGTGCTTGTGCGTGAGTGTGTGTGTGTGTGTGTGGCGCGTGTGTGTGTGTATGTGTGTGTGTGTGTGTGTGTGTGTGTGTTTGTAGATTATGTATACACATGTTGCACGCTGGGTCTTGGGTAGTATACTACCAGAACAAGTATAAATGCATTCAAAAAAGGATCTATTCTGAAAGACAAGAGGAGGGGGAGGGGGACAAGACACTACAAAGATGAAAAAATAAGAAAATAAGTTGTCTCAACACAACCTGCACTGCATTCACTCTAGCATTAGTAAACTTCAAACTTAAATAATAACCGAGGAGTCTCTAAGGGAACATATTTCTCCATTGCACAAAGTATTGGCAAAGGAATATTCTCTATTTAGAACCTACCACAGGTAAATTCGGGAAATCCAAAGTATGATAAAACTGTGAAATGCGTGAATAAAATTATTGGCCGGCAGTGTTCTATCGATTTCAATGCAGTTTCTTTTAATGTCAGAATACAAAGGCCAAGATTCGAGGTGTTTATTATCTTGGTGATTAATTAGATTAATTAAGAAGAGGCTTGGAATTTAATCAAAATGAAGAAACGAGTTTCTTTGTTATCATTTTTATGACTATTACTTTATAGAAAAGGAGGAAAAAATGTAGTCACATTAGTATTATCATTTTTCGATATTAAAAAAAATATATGCGAATCCATGAACCTATACATATATATATATATATATATATAATATATATATATATATATATATATATATA